AAATGGATGTTCCTGATTGATGCTTTCCATCAACTCTGCTGAAGCTTAAAGGTACGAATTTTTGAAAAGACCTGCCCTCTCCACTTAAAAAAAAGAAAAGAAATGCACATGCACAACCCTGTACCCGCTCCAGAGAGGGAACGCCTATTAAACTTGTGCGAGAGCATACACAACCCATTTCTCCTCGTGCATGCTCTGTTTAAAAGTTTCTGTTTGCATTAGTCATACAAGGTTACTTTCCAAGTTAAGATTTGCAGTTCTTCCACTATGTCAGACTCACCACCGGTAAGAGAAAACGGGGACGAGAACGTAAGGCGGCCTTACGTAAATATATCACCAGAATGATTGACAATTAGGAGGACCACTTATTTAGAGGATCTACCTGGAAACAGAACACCCTCCACTATACCTGTAAGCTGTTTTGTTAAGAATAATATTTCAGATTTCCTGTCACTAGATATGAAAAGCTGGAGACACCCCAAAAGACTTATAGACTGTAGCGAAATAGAAAATATTCAGGGGATCTGAGTATATTTCTATTTTTATTATTATTTAATTATTACATTTTGAAATGCAATTTCAGGTTCTCTCAATATTACAGTTATGCCCTACTTTGTATTAATCATAACATAGAAATAACTTGCTGCTTTCTTATGGTGATTTTACCTAGCAGAGAAAACTAACAAGTCTTACAGCTTAATTTCTTTGTCTCTGAATGCTTCATGGTGGTTAAAGCTTGTGAGTCTTGCTTATCTGTTTACAATAAGGAACATTTCAGTTGGTACTGTTGATTAAAAAGCTGATCTTTCTGGCTGCCTTTCTCTGAAAACCTCCAGCCAGCCATGCATAGCATTAGTGCATGACTGCCTGTCACTTCGGTGGCAGGCCTGCTAAGCCAATTGATCTTCCTTCAGTAAATCTTCTAAACTCTGTTTTGATTGACAGGGTTATGGAGGGTGATGAGTGCTGCAATACAATAAATAAAAAATGAATGAAATTATTATCTAAATGTATCACTTGTTTATTAAGAAAGTGTGAGCTGTATTTGTCAGAGGGCGGGGCTAACTTTGATTCTGCTGAAGTCTTCTGCTGGCAGTTCCCACCACGCTAGACAACAGCAAGCTCCCTCACAAGTTTATGGATTTGCTAACACAAATTTCTGTGAATAAATTGCAACACATTTTTAAAATTATTTTCTCCTTTTCCAGTGATATTATTAACTTTGCAGTGAAAAAAATCCCAGGATGCAGCTGTCTTATTTTGCTCTGTTAGAAGCAATAATCAGACGCCAGGGTTTCTATGAGAGCAGCCCTTGTCCTGCCTCCTTTACTTTGATGGCTGTGTTACAGTCACGGTGACTTCAGTGCAAGAACATGAACTAGTTTATTAAATCATGAAACAATTATATTTACCTCACTGTATTTAACTGAAGTCCATACATTTAATTATATATTTATTGAATAAATTGTGTATTTATTTTCAGTTTCAATAAATTAATGACACATTTCATTTATTTCTTGAATTTTGGCACTCGTTACCCTCCACAGTTAAGCTCCATAATTCTTTACTGTTTATTTAAAGTGATTAAGCCAAAATGAAGAAAAATCATCTCTTCGAAAATCTGTAGCATCTTTTTAGTCCTTCTTTCTCTTCTCTCCCTCCAGTTAAGTACCATTCAGGCCTCTATGGAGGAAACCACAGCAGCAGCAGCAGCAGCTCTACAGCCAGCAGAGGAAATTCACCAATTATGTGTGAGCGATGTCGGGAGGCTTGTCATGGAGAGGTGGTGCGTGTCAAGAACACGCACTTCCATATTCACTGCTTCACCTGCCAAGGTAAAGAAAAATCCTGATCTTTTACAATATTTTTGGTATATTTTCTCTCAAACGTAGACAAAATATGCAATACTTTTTTTTCTTGGAGTGATTCATTTCTTTCCGTTTGTAAAATAATACAACTCAGTTTGCATGATTAAATATTAAATTATTGCCAGTACTCAGACAAGAAGGAAGCACCATAGTCGGATCCATATTAATGTCTGTGCTTAATACAAATGAGCATACGTCAGAGTTGAAAGTCAAACTTGAAAACAAAAACAACATGCAGTACATGCCAAAAAAACAAACAAACGGAGAAGCATTAAGAACTGTAAAATATACATATAAGAGGATGAAGTTGAGGGTAGGAAAATGATTCATGAAAGACCTTTTTTCATCAGAAAAGATCCCAATTATAATTTAATGAAAAATAAGAACTTACATTGTTCACAAAGATAAATAAAAGTGGCAAAAATTAAACCTGCGCATAAAGAATCTTTTATCAGACAAGTGATTCAGTCTGGATTTGTTTAGTCCGACTGCTCCCTAAAAGAATGGCGGTGTGGTTGATGAGCGCTATAAAAAAAGGGTCCCTTCTGTCATGATTTTATCTAAAGCTCGGACCCACATGCAGTGAAACCAAACAGAGAGACACAGATGAAAAGTTTAACAGGTTTTATTGAAGAGATTCAGCTCGGTGCAGTGTTGCTCTGAACTCTGCTTTGCCGGAACTAGAAGGTGAGGGGAAGGCAGACTATTAGTTCAGGCTCAGTGGGAAATTTCATTCGTTGATTTGAAGAAGAGGATCTGGTTGATTACTCACGTTTCCATAGAAGTGAAGGATCTTTGAGTCCAATCTGTGTGGTTTTTTTTCCTGAGTTTGTCTGATTCGGTGGAGGGCGGAACAGGGTTTACCCAGAACTCGGATGGTGAAGGTGAACGGAGACGCTGATTGCCACTCAGATTTCCTGCTGTACTTGAACGGGTCGTGGTGAAGATGATTCCCTTGCTCAGAGAGTAATTTTAACGTCCTCTCAAAGAGACTGGATCCAAACCTCCTGTGTGGATCCCTGGCTCAGTTTAAGGCTCAGTTGATCCCTCCTGGGAGAGGAGGTCCGAAAAGGTCCAGTTTGCAGGATGACTTCCTGCCGAGAGGCAAAGACAAAAAACAAAGTTAAAACTTAGGTAGATAAGAACTCGGTCTTACTCAGCGAAAACTCAGCTTGGCTAGAGTACCAAAAACTGGCAAACACTCTGGCGTTGAGGTAGTGGAAATCAGCAGCTTAAGAGCACTCCGTTAACGAGGTAACCGTCAGTAGGTGTGTGAGGAGGCGGACCGTAACGAGGCGCCTCCTGTTGGTGGAAGGGAGACAAACACAAAAAAAAACACACAGACAGGAACCCTGACACCTTCTGTTAATCAAGTATTGCATGGCACTATCTGGGTGCAATGATCACCATACTTTTGTTCCATTACCAATGTTTAAGTCTCTTTTTGCAACAGTGGAAATTTTATTTTAGCAATCTTTATCGACTTTGCAATCCCTGTAATGAGGACGAGGCACATCACAGTCAACAGACAAAGCTGATGATAAAACAAAGCATTATACTGTGGGGATGTTTCTTTGGAAGAGGGTACAGACAAGTATTAAGTTTGGAGGGGAAGTTAACTTTACAAAAAGACAATGACCCTGAACATACCCTCAAAAACCTAAGAGCGATAAGTATTTAAAACTTGTGTTCAAACGTGAGAAAGTGTAAGTTATTACAAGTTAGTGTCATTGAAGTCATACTGCAATAGAATTATTTTTTGCAAGCGACTGAAAAAAGGTTTCCAAAAGGTTTATATTAGTAATTTTATTGTTTACCTATAATTCTCTAAATATAAGTATGACACAGATTTAGAGCCCCTACAAAAATTCAATTTGTGAACATTATTGCCTTTTCCCTTAGTCTGTATTTCTTGGTTGAGCTAAATAGATGGGACCAAACACAGTAAAAGAGGTCTGGAGTCAGCAGCAGGTTTGCGGTGCAGTCAGCAGGTTTCCACCCTGAAGTCAGACTCCAACCAGCTAACCTTCTTTGTAAAAGCTGGGCCTTTCGCAGTCCCAAAGCGAGCTGCAAGACAACACAGCTTTCTTTGTTTGATCTGCAGTTAACATCGCTCCACCGCTCTTGGTTATAAAACACCAAAGACGGGGGAATTTCTATTTTTACATAAAACACCAGATTTCATCTCAAACAACGCTGCTCGCTGGGGCTTTTAAAATGTAATCAGGGCTGACACTTCTATTGGCTGTTTGTTTGAAAGAGGAACTGACTTGTCAAATTAAGTTTTTGCTTAAAAGATGCATCTCTTCCTTGTGATAGGAAAAATCTTTCAAGCTTAATGATAGCAGGCTAATGGACTTGGCTCTGTGGGCATCAACTGATTAAATGGAAAAGAGGGAAATTGTCAGTAAACAGATATTTCTGTTTTTGTTCCTTCATTACTTATTTTTCCCCTGGTTTTGTGCAACTCCCTGCCTTTTTCCTGCCTTAGATTCTCAGCTTTTGTTTTGAGTGTTAGTCAAAATGCAGTCTTGTTTTCTTGTTGTAATTCACACAATTATATTTAACAAACAAATAAACAGGAAATTGTGTAGGAGTTGAATTTCCTTTTACGGAAGCCCTGAAAGCCAAGAGAGAAAATAAAATCTGGAAAAGAAAAGTTTTTTTTTCTTTCTCTTGTATTATTTTCTGCCTTAAAAGGGCATTAATACTGTCTCTGTCCATCATAAATCATCATATCAAAGATAAGTTATTTTAAATCAAAGATAAAGTAATTACTTTGACACACAGTTGCTGTTTCATGGCATCTGTAGATTACTGTAATTTATGGTAAAAATAGGCACATCACATTGCATATTCAGTATAGGGTGACCAAACGTCTGTATTTCCCGGGACATATCCGTATTTCACGTCCTGTCCCGGGCGTCCCGGGTTTTTTTTAGAAAGTGAGGAAATGTCCCGATTTCACTGCGCACGACGCTCCGTGTGACGTAATCCCTGAGCCGCGTCAGTGCGGGCAGCCCTGTTCTTAATCAGAGGCTCTGTTTGAAAACCTGGGCTGCATCCTCCAAGGACGCGGTCTACCTAGACTGGATCCTTCAAAGTCCGTTAAAATAAGGAGGCCGGAAGTGTTTTGGCTGTAAATTCGAACAGGTCCTCCCTTCGGCGGGTTTTACCTGCGTATGCTCTGTTGCTTAGCAACCGTGAAAGTTGACACACAAAGCAGGAAAAGAATGAATACCGAGGTTTTCAAAACTGTTTGTTTATTTATTTATTTTTTTTAAAGTTAAAGTGAACAAAGACTACACTCACAAGAATCCAGAGTGGAATAAAGGTTCCAACCACCGGGAGCAGGAACAAATAAAATCAAATATAATGATATAAACCTTAGTCAGTTAAATAACCTGCTGCTGTCATTCTGCACATCTCTGATGTTGCTGCTATTTTGAAATACCCATTACTGTAAAAATGTCCATAGCTGCATATTGGTTATTAATTCTCCAGTTTTATATGGTTAAAACACTTTACAGTATTTTATTGTTTATATTTTAACCCTTCCCTATTATGTTATGTCATTTTTCTAAGGTCCTCATTTGTGTGACTATTTTCAATAATCTTTCTGCTGCTGTAAATTTGCCCATTGTGGGACAGTAAAGGGATTTTCTATACTATAAAAAGGTTAGAAATACATAAGTAAATCTAAACAATGTATGTACAAAATATATCTGCAAAATCTCTAATACTCAACAACAAAAAATACTTAGTTAAGCATATTGTGCAAAACAACAATAAACTCCTATCAGATTTATAGTCCCCACCCTGCAGATCTATTAGAATCTGTCCTTTAATTACAGCCAAACCCATTTACACAGTAACAGATAAAAACCTTTAGATAAATCAAACATTACCGCCACATATCTGACTCTATAACCATTAAAACAACTATTTTCATTCATTTCAGTCGGAACTATTCACAGAGTTGTATTATATTAAACTGAACTTCCAATTTTCACCACTGTTCTGCGCCAAGTAACATTTCCTCTGATCACGGAGCAAATCCCGATGATGAGACATTTGTTCTTTCCATCAACCCCCCCACCCCGCTCCAAGGTGTCCTGGTTTTCCCAAATGAAAATATGGTCCCCCTAATTCAGTAGGAACCCCATGAAGTCTATAAATGATTTAATATAGCATACAAATCCATAACAACAGAATGAGTGTGTTATTGGAGCATAATAATACTGTTGTCAGATATTAATAATATTACGCATTCGCAAACACACACACACACTATCTGATAACGTGCCAAAAAGTGCTAAACTGATGATGTACATGTAATATACACGCATTAATTACATTACAGCCATTTCTATGGCGCAACTCCTTGAAAGTGGGGAGTACCAAGATGGCAGCAGATGACTTCGGTGTTTTCGGTCTATCAACAATCCAGTAAATAAGTAGAGATTAGTGGGCACAACAATTAACTTTTGGCCACTAGTGGCACTAAACTTTTAACTGCCCATATTTATAGATTTATGTCTGTATACTAGGAGCAAAGTGTTAACAGTCTAATAATAATGTTGAGAGAAAAAAATCGGTTTCATATCTGGTTTCCTGTGCTAACAAATAAACTTCTTGCCAAAATCGACTCTTGTTTTCCCTCGCGCATGATCCATTTCACGTTTTCTCTTTTTAGCCTGCTCAGAAGGTTTAAACATTGTCTTCGCATCAGCCATGACCAGTAGTCCAGCAGGTGGACAAACATTAGAGCAATAGCCTTAGCTCCATGACTATATTAGAGCCGGCGGCCGTAAAGCAATGCATTCTTCAAGGTCAAATGATCAGGCCAACGACGGCGCGTCTTCTCCCAACTTACATGGTGGGTATTTCCAGAAGTGAGCCCCCCTTGTTGCATTGATAGTGTCAAACTCTGTATAATGGCCTGAAGAATCTTTAAAAATAACTCA